AATCTTTATGTTATTGGATCATCTTCAGATAATTTCTACCCTGAGCTACTGTTCTTTAATTGGCTTTCTGTCTGCAACAATGTGTAATTTTATGTGATGTCCTGGAATTCAACCCCTTCCTTACTGATATTACTTGGATTTTCCCTCTGGCTTCAGTGTATTTATTTAGCTTATCAAGACCCTGACTGCAGTCACAAAGGGGTTTGCCCACATCCAGGATTTCTACACCCTCCCCTCCGAGAGTTTTTGGTCTAGAATTTGCCTTTTCTTCTTCTACTATGTTATCATATGGACCTGAGGGGAATAGAGTCAGGTTGGAAATGGAAGGAGAAAAGCAATGCTAAGATGCTGGAAGGGAACTGTTGTCATATACTGAAGGAAACTGAGAAGAAAGAAAAGTAAATGTACCAGGAACAGTATGAAAAGCTATATATTCATGATGTCCTTAATCTTCAAAATGGCTTTGAAAGAGTTGTTTTCTCCATTATACAGATGGACTAAGAAACAAATTAAGTATTTCCTCTAAGTCACAAAGCTTGGAGGTAATATTTTTTCACTATTTTACAAATGAGTTTATGCAAAGTTTCCAAGGTCTTCTAGTAAGTGTTAAAGACAGGACTTACCTATTTTTATTAAACACCAATGTTCCCTTTAAACCAACGATTTTCCTCGAAACCCTGAAAATTGTGGTAATTTCTGCAGATCTCTAGTTGTTGCATTACTCATAATTTTACTTCTAAATAATTTCCTTTAATATTTTTTTCCTTTAGTTGGTTAGAGAATACTAGAGTAGTCTGTTGTACACTTTGATAAGCAATTGAAGCATTTTGGCCTCATGTTCAAGTAGGATTCTTGTCCCTTCAACAGCCTTAAGAGAGAAAAAACAGAAATAGAAGATACACCTGTGCCCACTTACGTACACAAAAGTTTCTGTGAAAAACATGCTCCTTGGTGTCTACATATAAGCTTGTTATCAAATGACTACAAAGGAAGTAAGTAAGCAACTCTTCCTATAAGAAAATAAACCTGTAGTTAAAAGGAATGTGATGAAACATGATTGAGTGTACCCAGACTATGTGGCTATTTCCAAATTCTAACTCCCC